ACTGGGAGAGTCAAAGTGGGGCCAGAAGGAGAGAGGGAATTGAAGGGGGCTGGAAGGAGAAGAGGATCTTGGAAGTGGGTCTTTGAAGGATGAATAGGAGTTGGTCCAGAAGATAAGATCTAGAGGCTGGCCCAAGTAACTGTGGCTGAAGTAATGGGGAAAAGAAAAAGTGAAATCCCTTGAGGGGACACAAGGAACTAAAGATTCAGAGAATCTGTGAAAGTCTGCTGTCGGAGACCTCTCCAAAGTACTGAAGAGCAATGATGTCAGTCTGGAGAATAAGGTGCACCTGATCCAGTCCACAGTCTTTGCAATTACTTGCTATGCATCAGAAAGTTGAATGATGACTAGGGATGATAGAAGGAGAATTGATGTCTTTGAGCTGTGGTGCTAGAGAAGAGTATTGAATATACCAGGGATTGTTAGAACACACTAAACTCAGTCCTGCAAATTTCCCAAAGACCTAGAGAGGGTGAAACCAGGCTGCTCCTTGGGGGCAAAGATTCTGAAGCTTTCTCTGATATACTTGGGACATGTTGCCAGGTGGAACCAGTCCTTGGAGAGGGACGTTGTGTTTGGGAGGGTGGAGGCACAGCACAGGAGAGGAAGACCCTCTATGATATGGACTGATTCAGTGACTGGGGTAATAGGTGTAGGTATGTCAGAGACAGTAAGATTGGCACAGGATAAAGCAGGGTTTAGGACTGTTGTATGTAGCATCGCTATGAGTCACAGGTGACTCGATGGCACATAACAATAACATGAAGATTTAGATTAGATCCCTGGATGATACCTTGTCTCTGGTGGCCTAGTGGGAAAGGAGTTGTGTTGCCAACTTAAAGGCAGGTAGTTCAAATCTCCCAGCTGTTCCATAGGAGAAAGACAGACCATCTCCTCCTGCTCAATTAATTCACAGCCTCTGAAAACTCACTGGAGTCTTAACTATGAGTCTGACTCTATGGCAATGCATTTGAGTGACTAACCTAAGGGTTCGTGGTTTGAATCTATTCTGTGACACCTCAGAAGGTGATTTACTTCTGTGAAGATCACAGCCAAGAAACCTTGTGCAATGCAGTACTACTCTGCACACATGGGGCCCCCACGAATAGGAATTGACTCCACAGCAGCCTGTTTGGCTTGGGCTGATTTCCTGTCCTCAAAAAGCACACATCTGTTTGGGGCCCTCCAACCACTGAAAGAGAAAATATTAATAATATGGTGCTGGATCCAAAACCACATGCCCAGTCAGCCAAGAACAAATGCAATGATTTGAGCAGCAAGTATGCTCTGAGAACCTGGCGTCACGCCTTATTCACACAAGGACTTACTGGGTCCTTTCAGCAAACCTCTAAAGTGGGTGACATTCTTACGTTCACTTTATGGAGGGGAAAATAAAGCACAGAAAAGGAAAAGGATTCCTTTCTGGACACACGGCTTCTACAAAGCAGGGCTATGAGTCACCCCCTAGCCCCTGTTACTCTGGAGGGCACTGAGGCCAGGGCCTGGGAACCCCATTCTCCAAACATTATGGAAATCCTGCTGCAGGTCAGGCTTGATACAGATGCTTGGACAAAGCCATGGAAGATAAGACAGTAATCAAATCACGCCATGAACAGATTAAAGTGGTCACTGTGACCAGTGCTGTTGAGTTCAACACACAGCTTGGAGGAAGTGTGACCTCTCTGACACCCCCTATTTTGTCAAGACCCAGACCCTTCCAGGGAAAAGAGATGATAAACTTCAGTCTAAACGTTGGGCTCGATTTGAAGGTGGTGGTTGTTATGTGCCATCAAATCAACTATGACTCATAGCAACCCTATGAACAATGGCTCTGAATCTTCCCCTGCCTTGAGTCAGTCTCACAGTCTCTGACACATCTGTCCCTCTTGCCACATTTTATTAATCCACCTCATCCAGGATCTTCCTCTCTCGTGCTGACCCCTCTACCTTTCCAAGCATGATGTCCTTCAAGGACTTGTCTCTCCCGGCAACAAGCTCAAAGTATGCGAAACAGAGCTTTAAAATCCTTGCCTCCAGGGGCAACCTGGTTTCACCCTCTTCAGGACAGCCCTGTTCATTCTCTTGTCAGTCCATGAGTTCAGTTTAATACTCTTCTCCAGCACCATAATTCAAAAGCATTGATTCTTCTGTCATCCTTATTGAAAGTTGGGTTAGCTTTAACTAGACAGGAACAGGGGCCTTACCCATAAAAACCTCACCCATAAAAACCACCCTGCAAATGGCAGCCTCCCCAGAGAAAAGCAAGTTAGTCTGACTTCCTGCTTGGTTGCTCCTGCGATGGGAGGCTCATTCCTTCCCTTTTTTCCTCAGCTCCAAATGAAAGCTTTAGTCAGCCATGGCAGACATCACTAATCCCTTGGGAGAAAGGGTCCAAGGCCCAGTTAGAGGAGAACTCAGGCTGGGTTGGGGACTGTGGCTCAGAGAAGCCTCTGCCCTTCTATATGCCCAAGGGAGGGTAAGGAGCCCTTGGGTCACCTGGATCCTTCCTGCAACCAACCTTGTCCCTGATCTACGTGAGCATCTACTGAGAAAACTGAGGTCTCCCTGGCAAAATAACAATGAGTAAATAAAGACTTATTGGTCCTGAAAAAAAAAACAAAACAAAAACCAAAGCAAAAAACCAAAAACCAAAACCCAAACCAAAGCAAACCTGATATCTACCTTGAGAAAGCCACTTCCTCCCCCTGGACTTGGCTGGGACAGCTTCAGTTCAGGGCTGCTCAAGGCACGTTAAGTCCCAATCCTTCCTGTAGACCAGACAGGGGACCCAGGGAAAGCATGCCAGCCCCTCATCTCTATCTCTGTTGCTTTCTGCCTACACAAGGAGCAATGTCTGCCTGGCCCCTCGCCCAGCTACCCCCGCAGAACAGACCACGTGGTCCAGGCTCTGTGGCGGGGCAGCCCTCAGAAAACCCTGTGATACTAGCAGGATCCTCAGCCTGGCCGGCACCTTCCTCAATTAGTTATTTAATTTTTTACATTTATTATATATATTTTTTTTGTAATAAGGAAAAAGTCACTCTTTGCACAGAACAGACGGTATTTTCTTTGTTCCCGCAGAGCTCGCGCCTTCTGTGGCATCAGGCCTGAGAGCGAAGCCAAGTTCTTTGCTTGTTCAGATGTCTAGTGAAGTTAGAAGCAGCTGGGGAAAACAAGTTTGAGCCTCAGTTTCCCCAGCTTGGGTGAGCAGTTGCTCCCGAGCTGGGTGAGACTGAGGCTGCAGGAGGAACTGGTCCTCAAGGAGTGCTTGCACCTACCTGGTCACCGCCAATATAAACAGGTAACACAGCTCAGGTTGAGGTGGGGGGTGGGAGAGAGGGGATGGTTCCTTCCAAGCCAGGGGGGTAATCAGAGCAGCTTCCTGAAGAGGGGGCGGCATAGCAGAGCTGAAAAGGAGCAGGAGGAATTATGCTGCACGGAGGGTCTTCCGGATGAAGGAACAGCCTGGGCAAAGGTCCTGAGGGAGAGAGATTCTGCTTCTGGCTTGGGAATGCCTCCAGGAACAAGCCCGGAACTCATCTAACAGCCTTTGAAGGTAGCTGTCAGCTCAGAAGTGTGATTCATCTTGGGGGAAAGGAAATAAAAGGACAGGGAATGGAGCTATGAGTACCCCGAGGCCTCGGGAGATGAAAAGTCAAAGAACCCGGGTCTCTGAGCCCCAGTGCCCAACACTTTGCCACATGACTGACCAGTGGGACCAGCCAGGGTTGGATCACCCAATAAGCCAGGTAAGCCCCAGCTTACTTGTGCTTAAGTACTCATCTGTAGTTAACAATTTCACCTTTCCTCACCGCCACCACATCAACGATTCTGCTTTTAGGGATGTATGGCATTTGTCTCCCTCCCAACCCACAGCGTCTTCCTAGAGAATCAAAGCCCCTTTTCAAATGTAACAATCCCTGCCAGCGACAGAGATTCGTTAAGCAAAGTGAGCACAGGCCTGTCTTTGCTTATTGTTGTCTGTAGTGAACGGTCTCAAGCGTTGTCCCACCGTGTGATGTAAAAAGTTGACTGCAGATGAGTAAATCTCTTGCTTATTGGGTAATACCCCTCCGTGAGAGCAGGTCAGCCCCGTTTCAAAGAATCTGCCTCTGAGCAGCTTCACGTGGGCTCCCTGGGCCCAGAGTGGGGACCCAGAGCTGCTGCCATTCAGTGGGGCCTGGACCCTGACAGAGCTCCGCCCTGTAACAACAAGCTGTCTTTGGGGAGGCAGAAGAGGGCATAGGCTGGGCTTTTGGGATCAGGTTTGGGGAGAGGGCAGGCAGGCACGATCCTTGAGGATGACCCCCAAAAGACCCCATTAAAAAAAATCTACATTTTTGCCTCTCCTTGTCACCCCTTTTGACGTCCCCCTCCCAGGTATCTTAACTTCCTGGCCACACCTAGGCATCCCCAGATTTAGCCACAGATCCGCCTGCCTCAGGACCTGACGCCTATCCTGAGCCTGAGGTCATGACCTCGGACACCAGAGCAGCCTGCAGCAGCCACTTGTAGGGTCAGGACTCTCCAGGCGATGACACCGGCTCAGTTCACCTTTGCCTCTGTCGCCTTCGGGGCCCGTCTGTGTCTCTGGGAGTCTCTCCCTTCCCGGATGTCTGTCCCCCCCCGTCCCACCCCC